ATAATGATATTCCAGGTATTCAAGGTGAGAAGCTTGCCGAAATGGCTCGCTTGCCAAGCAAATACTCAGCTTTATCCTAGATATCTGTATTACTAAACATGGTTTGCAGCGTGCAGCAGCAGAGTTCGAAGTGCGCTTGCAAAAATAATGTAGCAATTATACGATGTACTGACTTAATTTTTTAGAATTGAAATAGCCAAAATGGATAATTATTGGAAAGCCCAAATAGCCATAAAAATGATGGACACCATACATTAGGAGAATAAGCACATGAAGAAAAAAGGATAAAAATATAAAGATATATGCGGGAACTATAAGATAACAAAACCTCACCTCGGCCATCACGCGAACCTCGAGTAGAAGAATAGTCACTTTTATATCCGCCCCCCTCCGTAAAATAAAATTTGCCACTTGAGCCTCCATCCGAAGGCTTGTGCGTTCTGTTCAGAGAAGCTTCGGTATGTCGCATGAAGGAGGGACTGGCAGAAGCCGAACGGGGAGGGTGATTCATCGAATAAGCGTCATATGTGGATATGTGACCGCGCACATTAGAACTACCCCTAACCTCGGTACCGCATGGCTTAAAGCCATACTGATGCAAGTTAGCGTAATTAGCAATGACTGTATTAAAACAGCCACCATGTCGACCGCTCAAAAAATTGGCCAATCTGGCCTCAAAAGCTTCCTGCAAACGTTGGGAGGCATGTGAAACGAATGGCGTACAGATGGATCGTGGAGCACTACTGCCGAAGGCGACCACGCACGATGTTGTCATGGCAGTCCCAGGTTGGAGACAAGAGCCGCTGGCTACTGTCCATCGATGCCGAGCAGCTGAGGAAAAGAGATCATGTCGGCCAGCAATCGAACGCGAATTTCGCTGGCGCTCGAAAATTTGTTCCAAACGAGCCTATTTAAATAAAAAAGGGCTAAATAATATACCAACAGGTAGTACTGGCGTAAATTGCATATAAATCTATTTATGTTAATGTAGTGCAGTAAATATAGAGGACCAAGTAAAGGGCATTACAAAAAAAGTAGATACGAAGACCAAGATAGTGTGGCCTCAAGTTTGGTCATAGTCTCCTTTCGATTCATAGCTGTTGTTTGACCTTGTTTTCGCAACTTGGTCATATTGGCAGGAAGACCTAGGAGAACGCACTTTGTCCGGAGTTCATAATCTGCGTGATAATTTCCAGAGTCGGGCCGCGGACTTCTTATGTCCCCAGACGTTTCGCCGGCATCGTCAGTGAGTCTTGCTATTCTCAGCACCAAACTACGACTCGTCAAAGAAACAAGTGAAGTCAAACCCTTGACTAATGTTTTGCCGAAACAGTTATACTATCACTCCTCTTTCTGCCCTGGCCCCTCTATTTATTTCTTACCGTCTAGTCCCGCCCTCGTTCTATCAATTTCTGGCTTGATTATATTCCACTCGTCAAGAGGTGCGCCATTTCGGCGAATTTACTGTGGCGTCAACACACCTGCTGATTGCCTCGAGTGGTCAATCCAACTCCAGCCTCCTGTCCGGATCTGCCTTATGTGCCCGTAGATCCGTTTCTTATCTTTTAGGATGACCGATTTCACTCAGTTCCAGCCCCAGTGTACTTTTTACTCCAGGAGCTATTTCTCAAGTCTTCAGTAGCACGTACAATATGAGATGTATTCAGCCAATTTAGTTTAAGGTGATGAAGGACTGGTAGAAGAACTTTCCT